GATGGAGCTCTTCATCTTCTTCGGCTCCCTCCTGCAGCGCTTCCGTTTTTCCCCCCCCGCCGGGGTTTCGGAGGAGGAGCTGGACCTGACCCCGTTTCCGGGCATCACTCTGGGCCCCGCGGCTCATCAACTGCGTGCTGTTTCCCGCATGTGATTTGTGAGCAGATTTAGAGTTTTAATCCAGCTCCGAATCCCTCAGAACTCAGCTTTCAAAGTGATGTGCAGCAGAATCCAGATTATTTTTGCTTGTCACACGGAAACAAAAACATGATTGTGTTCTGATAAACACACGCACAAGTCACGTTTAATCTCACGCACACTGTCTGATGTAATAAATAATCAATATCTGCACAAACCAGATGTTTCCCACAATGATTTCTGAGGTCCTGCTGTGGAATAAAGAAAACTCTTACAGCCATAATGAGGTTGTTTCAGTGTCATTTAACCTTTTCAAAGGGTAGAGAAGTCACTATAGAAAATAACCTGGAAAAAAAAGTTTAAAAAAACAACAAAGAAGTGAAAAAGAAACCTTGAAATTAGATTTTTGTATCCCATGACAGCTACACTGTTTATACACATATCATATAATATCCAGATGAGATTTTTTTATTTTGCTCCCTTTCGATTGGTCATTGTCTTGTATTACTATCACCTAATATTGTGGACACTCATCTCTCTTCCAGTTAAACTGTTTCTCTCTGGCCTGAACAGACCAGTGTAGTAAATTGGTCTCTAAACCCTGGTGCAGACCTTCCTTCTGTTCTTTTATCCATCCTTCCATTTACTATTCATTTCTGCATCATAAATCTTCACCAAATTCAAGATAGTAAAAACATCAACGGTTCACTTCCTAATTTTTTTTCAGAGCATATTGTGTCACGTTGGTCCAGACTGATGCTTCAAACCTGTGAATTCAGTCTGGACTGTAGGTCCAGTCATAAACACACATGTTTAAGTGTCAGTAGATCCATACAAAAATATGGTATTAAAGTTATGCATAAATAATTGAAATTATTAAATTATTTTAAAATATATAATTATTATAATTAAATATAATTACAATTATTTAATATTAAATGATCAATTCATTTAAAATGAATTTATAATTATTTTAAATATCTTTCTTAAATAATAATCCTCTGATTCTGATTCTGAAATGTATCTACACAGATGTTTCTGTGCTGGTACAGAGTCAGTGTGTCGTAGGATTTCCAGAATTGTTGTGTGGAGTAAACACTCTGGGCCTGGAGGGGGCGCCACTGTTCCCCTGTTGATTCACATCAGTGTGCGGTTAGCAGGACTGTGATGCTTTTTTAAACAGGAAACCATGCAGTTCTGCTCTAAAGGCCCACGGCCCCCCAGGTCCATAATAGGATGTGCTCAAATAAAACAAGTAAAAGACTCTGAACGAACGGAGAAACAAAAAAAAGAAATGATCAGCAGTCTGGAGAGTTTGTGGTCAAACAGCTTCTCTGTTTCTGTCACTGTTTGCTGTTTAGGAAGAGAAGCAAACACCTAAAACCAGCGGGGGAAAACTACTGCACACATTATCACTTTAATAGCTTCAGAAATTATCTTTATTACAAATATCATTGGTCACAAATTTGAACATCATCAATAACTTACAACAAGTTAAAAAAAAACTTAAACTGAGCTGATTTTAAAGCTGAGAAGAAGATAAAGAAATTAAAAGTTATATGAAATTATACAAATCTATGCATATACATTTACAAATTTACATATATATATATGTGTTTGTACATATAAACTTGTAGAGACATTTATATGTATGCAAAAACAATATAATAATGAATAAAATGTTCCATCTATGCAACAGAGAAAAAAGGAACTATCTCTCTGTGTTTCAGGTTTCCTCAGCAAATGCAAATGAGTGACACTTTTCAGGTCAAACTAAAATAGCTCAGCGGTGAGGCAACAGCCAGCAGGCAGAGGACCCCCCCCCCCACCCACCACATCCGAGACCCGGCCCCGTCTCCAGCTAACTGTGTTAGCCCTGAACCCAAACCTGGGCTCAGGAACAACAACAACACCCCTCTGAGGATTTCTAAACTTAATTCAACGCATTTTTCCCTATATGTCATGTACCCATACTGGAATTGTTAGATAAATAAACCAAAAACTCTTTAAAGGGGGGTCTATGTATATCAGATGGCTTAGCTTGGGTTTGTCTCTTTCGGTTCTTTGTTAACCCTTTAAAGCCTGATCCAAGAAAAATAGGAAGAATATTGGATTTTTTTTAGTCTGAAGTCTTTCTTTGGCCCCTCAACAACATATGAAGAAGAAAAAACTGATGATTTTGATCAAATTAGCGTGCAATAAGTCAAAAATATATGTTGGTGTAGTCTTCTACTGGCTGTTATCAGGTATATCTGAATGTGAACAACAGGGGTTTGAGCAAAGCTTTTACCACTGAATGATGCAAAAAGTCTCAGATCCAAAAGACTTCAGAAACCGGATCAAATATGATGGATATGGCATTATAGGGTTAAGGATACCTGGTGGTTAATTCCTTTAGGGAGAGTCTGGTTACTGTGGTTTTAGCACCAGTAGGAAATACGATAATAATAATCCCATCTAGGATGAATTTCCTATTCCTGTTTATCATCTAAACTTTATGACTTGTCCTTTGTGCCATCCTCACTCATCTCCTGAGAAGATTTACCTTTTGGTCCATCCACATGGGGGGGGGGGGGGCCCTTCCTGTCTCCTGAGAATAAGCATAACTTTTTTCCTTTTGGAGATTCTCCATGGGACTCCTTTAAGGACTGAGGAGTAAATCAGAATCTCTTTGTTTGTTGCTGATAAGAAAATTGGCCTTTTTCTTTCCTTTATCCATACTAAGTTATATAAGGGGACGTGCCTTTTACCTGAGTTTACAATGTGATCTGCATCTTTGAACACTGTTGTCTTTGAATAAAATAAAATAATAAATATTGGACCAGATAAATCTTCTCTAATTATTAACATAGAGATTTTTTTCCATAAGAGGTTTTTACTGTGTCCGGCCTCTCATCTGTTCTTCTGGACGGTGGAGTAGAGCTCACAGGGGTCAGCGGGGGGGGCTTTAACGGTGCTGTACGTCACTGAATCCTCCTCCCGACGCTTCATTCCAGCCTGGAGGAGAAGAAAAGACACAACAAACCCACACACAGGAGGTTAGGCGGCCATCTTGAAACCTCCATATTTGGAGAATAACCAGAGAGAATAACCAGAGAATAACCAAGAATAACCAGAGAATAACCAAGAATAATCAAAGAGAATAACCAGAGAATAAACAAAGAGAATAACCAAAGAGAATAACCAGAGAATAACCAAAGAGAATAACCAAAGAGAATAAACAAAGAGAATAACCAGAGAGAATAACCAAAGAGAATAACCAAAGAGAATAACCAGAAGGAATAACCAGAGAGAATAAACAAAGAGAATAACCAAAAAGAATAACCAGAGAGAAAAACCAGAGAGAATAACCAAAAAGAATAACCAGATAATAACCAAAGAGAATAACCCAAGAGAATAACCAAAGAGAATAACCAGAGAATAACCAAAGAGAATAACCAAAGAGAATAACCAAAATGAATAACCAAAGAGAATAACCAGATAATAACCAGAGAGAATAACCAGAGAGAATAACCAGAGAGAATAACCAAAGAGAATAACCAAAGAGAATAACCAGAGAATAACCCAAGAGAATAACCAAACAGAATAACCAAACAGAGTAACCAAAGAGAATAACCAGAAGGAATAACCAGAGAGAATAACCAAAGAGAATAAACAAAGAGAATAACCAGAGAATAACCAGAGAGAATAACCAAAGAGAATAACCAAAGAGAATAACCAGAGAGAATAACCAGAGAGAATAACCCAAGAGAATAACCAAAGAGAATAACCAAAGATAATAACCAGAGAGAATAACCAGAGAGAATAACCAAAGAGAATAACCAAACAGAATAACCAAAGAGAATAACCCAAGAGAATAACCAAAGAGAATAACCAAACAGAGTAACCAAAGAGAATAACCAGAGAGAATAACCAGAGAGAATAACCAGAGAGAATAACCAAAGAGAATAACCAAAGAGAATAACCAAAGATAATAACCAGAGAGCATAACCAAAGAGAATAACTAAAGAGAATAACCAAAGAGAATAAACAAAGAGAATAACCAGAGAGAATAACCAAAGAGAATAACCAGAGAGAATAAACAAAGAGAATAACCAAAGAGAATAACCAAAGATAATAACCAGAGAGCATAACCAAAGAGAATAACCAAAGATAATAACCAGAGAGCATAACCAAAGAGAATAACCAGAGAGAATAACCAGAGAGAATATACAAAAAGAATAACCAGAGAGAAAAATCAGAGAGAATAACCAAAAAGAATAACCAGATAATAACCAAAGAGAATAACCAGAGAGAATAACCAGAGAGAATAACCAGAGAGAATAACCAAAGAGAATAAACAAAGATGGCGGCTTACGCGGTTGGCGGCCATCTTGTTGTAGTCGATGGAGGCGTAGGGAACGGCGTCCGCTGGGTCAGCCTGATCAGAAAAGTGGAACATCAGCTCATGTTCACTTTAGATTTGATCAAGACGACAACCAACAGGAAGGAGATAACATCTGAGGTCTTTTTTCAGAAAAATGAACCATTTTTTCCGATCAGTTTGAGGTTAGCTTACACCTCTTTCAAGTTTAGGGCGGTTGCAACGACTTTTTTTTTTTTTCTGCGTTCCTCTTTCTGATTCTCGTTCCTATTTTGGTCGCTGTGAGAAAATAGCAAGCCGTCTTTTAGGATTTCGCAACCGGGGACGGAGTGAAATGCTGCCGAGGGTCAAAAGAGCCCACTTTCCCAGCCTCCACATT